TTTTAATGGGAGCTATAAAAATATATTGGTATATTAAGTATTTTCCACCAACTTTAATGAGAAATTGTAATAAGAGCATTACTTTACAGATCAATAAACTAAAGTACAAAGTGAATACTTGATTTGTTTCTGCTCACAATACAGTAATGTCACACCAAGGTCAAAAACGAGTCTAGACTCCAACCGTTCAACACTTCACAATATGGTTTAGAGGGTTTGGTGGTGTTTGGTCAGAGGTTGGACTTGATGACCTTGGAGGTCTTTTCCAACCCTAATGAAACCAGGAATTACTAGCATAACTTTTCCTTTCCTCTTAGGTATCTACTGGGTACAAAAATTCTGTAGCAGAAACACCCTTTGGCAAAGCAGTGTGACATGAAATATGACTGATCAAGAGCAAAAGAATAAGAAAAGTCCTAAAAAAGTGCAACTACAAGAAGTAAAGCCAATAAAGTGACCTCTGCAAAGAGCAACTGAGACTGAAAAAAGGAAATCTTTTACTTCAGTTTCTGTAATCCAGAAAAATCTCATTTTACCTTTGATTTTTCAGTCACTGGAACCAGCATGTCTCAGATTTTTTTTTTTTTTAACCATGTCCTGCATTATTCATAAAGAGCATCAACTTCGTTAATGAGGAAAAAAAAATACATTCTGCATAGGCCTTATCACAGGCCCAGAAGTATTCTTGGCATTTAGTCAGCAGCTCAGCACACCTAAGTCAAAGCAAACTCTCTTAATAAATCAGGAGACAAAGGTCTCCAACAACAGTAATTTTTTATACCCTCACCTGATGGCTGACTGGGCAAAAACTGGCTGAGGAGTTGCAATAAGACAGTGACTCCAAACATAGTCTTATATGATAGCACATGACCAGATAAAGAACTTACAATATCAAGAACTGCAAAAAAATGGTATCATGCGGTTGGGTCACCTTACTCAGTTTCAAGAAAGTAATAGTACATAAACCTCACACATGCTGTGATTCTTGGGGTGGTCCTGTGCAGGGCCAGGAGTTGGACTTTATTACCCTTGTGTGTCCCTTCCAACTTAAGATATTCTATGATTCCATGATAAATCTATTACAAAAGAAGGAAATACAGAACTTGAGCCCTTCACTGTAACCCAAACCCAGTGCTGGTACACAGCTAATAGAGTCTCCCCTCCAGAGCTATTAAAACCTTGCCCTTAAATACTTACATTAATTCCACTTTATCTGAAGAAACATCTGCATTTTATAGATTCAGCTACAGTTGGCAATTTCTCAATCACACCATTTGGTTATGAAACATCTCTATGCCACCCCTTTTGTGCTTGCTTCATCCATTTTAATGAGCTGAGTGTTTCTGTCCCACCTCTCCAAGTTCATTTGCTTATGC